TCAAGGTAAGCAGATTCTCTTTTGTGCTTATTTATACTGTAAATATTTCCCATAGAAGTACAAACTGCAATCAAGTCGCCAAAGGGATTTAAACAGTACTTATGCATTAGTACTACTATGCCTGTAGCTTACGGGTAAGTTATGCAAATTGATACGTTTACGTTGGTATAATACTTACAATTACATAGTTGCAAATGGAGTAACAGAAGATCAAATATTAGATAAACATATCAACGGAGAAAATATATTTGAACTTTAAGAATAATAATACAAATTTGTTCTTATTAGTAAACTGGCTATTATCCAATTAATTATAATTATATATATCTGGCTTTTAAGTCAATAATAAAGTACAGTTCTACAAAAAATGCATGATATTACATAAATATTTTATAGGGCGATCAAAGAAATCCAAAGTAAAATTGTTGTTATTCCCTGACTGAAACTAATTGCAATTCAAATTGAACCAACATTTTTATATCCAATTTTCGGTTCATAGTTCTATAAAATCATTAACATTTTATTTAGGCTTTCAGTAGATTTTTACAAAAGACTTTTTGACAACACATTATGACAATAATGTAATTTATAAACCACTTTATAATCAAGGTTTAAATATCTTATCCCAATATTTTGTTTTCTGATTCATCTCAGTAGCTTATTTGTGGGAGATAATCGCTTTTGAAGAAGACAGTATAGATTTACAATAATCTTAGGATTAAAAGGATGCCTTTGCTTCTGGTCCTAATCAACTATACAAGGTGGTCCGAATTGTAGTCGGGAAATTTCGGCAGCATGTTCTGCAGATAAAAATAAGTAAAAAAGTTCGTATAAATTTATGTCCCCAAATGCTTAGTTTCGGAGATACAGTAATACCTTTTCGTCCTTACCTGTATAAAACTACTAAGTGAATATATATTTTCGTAATTTTTTGCGTAAAAAAGATCTCTTGGTAAAATTCACTACGAGCAACCGTTCTCAAGTTATTTAGAATTGAAATAGTCAATACATGCCATTATTGACAAAAAATAAACATGTTGAGTAGATAGTTATGAAATCTGTGGTTATGAAATGGTAAATTTGGGAACTTTTTATTTTTTTTTAATTAATCATAATTTTTTAGGAAAAATTTCGATAAAACTGTTTCTGTAAACTCTTTGGAACAAAACCATATCAAATTTATTATTTTGGTCTAATAACTATCTAGTCAACATGTTTATGTCACACTGTTCGGTTTTTATATGATTCAAAATAAAAAATATATAAATTGTAAAATTAGTAATTTTTTAATGGCCATAATGCGTTCTTTCAAAATCATGGAACAACTAAATCATTTCCATAGATCCAGTGACGTACCGTAAGTCACGGTGATTTTTGAGACCAAAAACTGAAACAATAATTTGTCAAAAAAATCATATTACAGCTATGTTTTATTTTGCATAAAAATGTTAACTAATAAGTTTGAATAATTATAATTCATCCCTAACTAAGTGGTTTTATCGCTAAATTTAACTAAAGCTAAGTACAACACAAATCTTAAATACGTGGACTATTATAAGAACAAATACATCGTAAAAGACTATTTTGGTAGCATTCTGAACTAGAATTCAAGTTAAACATTTTAGAAAATAATTTAAAGGAAAAATGTTAATTCAGTTAATATTAATTTTTGTATACTGCTTAGATTTATGTGGTCTTCTATCATATATTTTGGAAATTAGAGAATTACCTGAAGATTTTCATCTAAAAATTGGCATTGATAGTGGTGGTGGATCACTTAAAGTTTGTCCGAATGTGCTCCCAGAAAATGATCCCGAATATTTCAAGAAATATAAAAGTGCTGGAATTAATAAACTATTCATAATTGGCTTAGGACCAAAGTTGTCTGAATCTAATGCTAATATTAAAAGCCTCTTTGAGACGTTAGATCTGCAGTCCATATGTGGAATTTGTTCCTATACTTTTGCCGCTGACTTTAAGCTTATTATGATTCTCCTTGGTCTTCAGTCAAATTCATCCACTCACACTTGGTGTGATGTAAATGTAAAGGAAATGGAAATTAAAGGATCATTCAGAACTATAAAAAGTATTACAGAAAATACAAATTTATGGCAACAATCTGGAGGAAATATAACAAAAGCCAAAGATTTTAGTAAGCGTTTTTGTTTGAAATATTTTTTTTTGTATTTTTTAAACTGTTGTCCAATGAACCATATAAAAAGGGGCAATTATTTTTTAGAAAACTGTATAAACATACCTTTAATCATTGGTGACGAAGAAACACATGTCTTAAAGTATATTCCCCCTCCTGAGCTTCACCTTTTGTTAGGTGTGGTTCAAAAACTATTTGATTGTCTTGAATTGGAGAATACCCATGTTGCAACAGAATGGATAAAAAAAAGCGGGATTGAAACTAGATCATTATGGAAAATGTAACGGAAATAACGCCAGACAACTTTTGAAGAAAGTGGATATTTTGAAGACGATATCGCCCGGTAAAGAATCCTATTCAAAGTTTTTAGAAGCAAAAACCTAAACATCTTTTTTTTAGGAAATAAATATATTGCAGTGTTTTCTGCATTCAATCAAGTAGTTTCGAGTTGTTTTGGTCAAGCACTAAACAAACATTTTGAACATGACATCGAACAATTTAGATTGGAAATACTCAACTTAGGTATTAAGATAACTCCAAAGATTCATGCAATTCTGCATCATGTGCCAGATTTTATAAAAGCAAATCATAGAGCTCTAGGATTTTACTCGGAACAAGCATCGGCAAGCAGGTTCATTTTTCCTTTAAATTATTTTCTAAAAAGTTTAACTTGAATCCTCGTTCAGAATGCTACCAAAATAGTCTTTTACGATGTATTTGTTGTTATAATAGTCCACGTATTTAAGATTTGTTTTGTACTTAGCTTTAGTTAAGGTGCGTATTCATTATCCGAACGAACGAACGAACGAACGAACGAACGAACGAACGAACGAACGAACGAATGAAAGTGCGGTATATTTAGATGGGGACCGAACGCATGCGGCCGTTCGTTCGTTCGTTCGCTCGACCATCCGTTTCGAGTCCTGTATTTCCGAAACTAAGCATTTTAGGGCATACATTTATACCAACTTTTTACTTACTTTTTATCTGCAGAATACGCTGTTCGAAGTATGCAATTTGGACCGCCCTGTATAATAGTGTTTAGGAGTTATAATAGTATTTAGTAGAAACTGTGTGAAACTGTAGAAAATAGTGTTATATGAACTTTTGTTTGGGGAGGGGGAGATGATATTCTGACATTTATCTATAGGAGCTATCTATAGTGTTTTTTAATTCAACACTCCACAAGTTTTTAATTATTTTTTAGTTTATGTTGTTTTTAAAAATTTGTTTTTCTCTTTAATTTGTTATTGCTGTATTAACAGTTTACAGAGATAGAATCTTCAACAAATACATTCTCAAATAGCTCTTTTAAACGAATAAAACTAACGCTTTAATTAGGATTGATAAAGTGCAACATCTATCAAATTCCAAACATATTTATCAAATTCAAACTAATATCTAATATATAGGGAGAATAATTGAATGTTCGTTTCAAGCACTTTGCAATTAAAATGGTAGTACTTGAAGCAATTGTTGCATCGACGGATTGATGCTAGAACAGCATAAAGAGAAGAGAATACGTCTAGTTGAAATAATTGATCCATACCGATCATAAATAATGGATATATAGGCAATTGTAAATGTTCGGTCATAAATATGAGGAGGGCACGATAAAGATAATCAAGTGGTCGAAGTTTATACAGTACTTGCTTAAATTGGATGAAAAATTGATTTGGGGTAGAGTAAGACATTAAGTTTATGATGAAAATAGATATAGAACAGTATAATGGATATACCGAGTTGGGTCAGTATCCCTGTTCTCAGTGATTTAAAGTGATAAAAGAAACTTGAAATTTGGAAGGTGGAAGGTTTAGAAAATATATTCCATAAATATATTTCAGAAACTACTCGATATAGATATAGATTTGCAATAAATATATTGACATCTAATAATGTAATTTTAAGGCAAGACCACAGAATTAATAAAACGTATAATATTCCAATAAAGAAAAGCTACAATTTTAGTGTAAATATATAGAGTGATATAGTGAATATATAGGTATCACGGCAATGATACTTTAGACCTAGATATAAAAGTCGTTTTAAAAAATCTAATAATATACCGGGTGTTCCTTTAAAATAGCAAAGATGCTACCACTTTTAGTATGAAGCGGCAACACTGTAATGCTAGCACTCATAGCAGTCACATAAAATTTCAATCTATTTTTAAACCATTAGTATTATAGTTTGGTTCAGCATTTTGTCAAGAAAATGAGAATAATTCTTGGCAGGAGTTTGTTTATAACATTTATGTATCATAATATCTATTTTTCTTCTTTTATGCTAGACTTTATTTATTAAAGTATCTTATTCTTTCGTAAAAGGAAATATGTAATATACATAAATAAATAACAACAGACTTAAATATTAAAAATAAAGAATAATGTTTTAAAATGTCCAATACTTACTTGACATTATTTATGTGAATTTAAACCCCTTTTTGAAAACCTATATAAAATTATATTGGTATGTAGATATACAGATAAGATCTCTTATCTATTACTTATATCTGGTAATAAGTGTTTGATTACAGAGTTTGAAAATATCTGTTACATGTAACTGTTTCGTTCAAAATTCATATTCTTTGTTTCAAAATATTTATGAATAATACTTTTTAACTGTCAATAATCTACGGTACTTTATAAGCGGTAACTTCGTATGTATTATAAAAATTTTACTGTTGTAAATTTGTTTGCTTTAATTAACTACATTTTTAATAAATGTAGTATCATTCAAAACAAGAAAAATAATTTTTCTGATCTAATCTAATTCTGCTAATACAGAGATCATGACAAATACGTTTAATAACTAACCTTTAATAAAAATAAGATTGTTTCCCACCTACCTTACAATATCCGTCGATGCACAGCCCTCTAGTGCCCTTGTGGGCTGCTTTTCCTGTGGATGTGACCGGATGATAACAAGGGGTCCCATCTATGACTGTTTTGTTAAGGGTGGCGTAGAAGTTTAACCCTCTCGGACGACAATTAAGGGTGCATTCTGTTTGAGCTAATAAAACAAAAATACACACTTGTTTATTATTAGTTTATATAAGGGTTGATGTGGGAATAGGAGGAAACAATTAATATGTTTTGACAACAATAGATATAAAAATGTAATGACTTTTTTTCTTATTAATAGGTACATCAGATTTTATAGATGTTAAGTACAGCAGATTGAAAAAACGGTATCACTGTGTCCTTTAAAATTATATTCGATAATAATAATTCCTGTTAAATTATAAGAAGGTAAGAAGATTTAGGAATCAAATCCATGGGAATAGAAACATTTTTACTTTTTTATTTATACATTTTAGAATATTCAAAGGCCAATATGACGCTGTTTTTTGACTATATGATGATTGATATATTGATACACGCTTGATGTGTCAGTCGAAGGTATACAGGCTGTCCCAGGCTGAGCGTGCATTAGAAGTTTCTAGTTGTTAGAGCCAGTATATATTTTTAGGGAACAATTTCTGTTACATTTTTTAGAACAAAGGTAATTTCAGTTTAAGATGCACATGTTTTTCTCGATCCTATTCAAAAGTGAAAGTTTATGGATTTACTGTTTGTGACGGTTGGTCTTGTGAACTCTTGTCTATTAATTTATGACCGAAGACAAGGGTTCCTTCGAGGACGTAGTTCAACTGGCTTTTGAAGTAGGTACTGAGTTAAAAACATGTGCCTTATTTTTTAGAAAACTGAATATTTGGGATTTTAGTCTTTAGTATCGTATAGATTTTAAAGGTAAGCGGAAGGCGGAGTCGTACCGGGTTTTGTCAAATTTTCGCTTTTCCATTCTCTTTTTAATTATTCATTTATTCGTGGATTTTGTTTATTATTAGTTGCAAGTAAGCTCAGTATTTAATAAAGGTTGTATATATGTAAATAAATACGGTTTTTATTTCCAAGGAGACGTGTTGTTAAGACGGGTAGTTTTAGTGACGCGACACTGGTGAACTACAAGATCTAGATCGGAAATTTTTTGCACGTATCGGAGATTTTTTTGCACGTTTTTGCATTGTTTTATAATGACATCTATCGATTACATATATTTTCAATATGGCGGCAATTTTCAATCCGGGAACACCGGAAGTTGACAGCAACTTTCTTATTTTAAATGGGGACCCCCATTTTTTATTATATACTTAAATTCTCTATAAAATTTTATTAAATTTGATATTAAACACTCTATACCTAACATTAACCGCTTTTGAGAAAAACAATATTAAACATTTTTGGAGGAAAATAACTAAAAAATGTCAAAAAAATTGTACAGCGTAAATGTCAAATATAGTGATTACCGCAGCTACTGTGACATAAAGAGAAGATATGTGGCTCTCTATTTCAAAAATTAAATTGTTTGAATGTCATATAATATTGGCCGTAGCTGTCATGGAATTGAGAGATTAAAAAATTATCATAAATTATTTTTTTCAAATCGAAACCCACTTTTTTTCATTCACTAGTGAAAAGGCCTTTCATTATACATTTTTTTTTTCCACAATAAGGGGCCGTCCTCTGCCGGAAACACTGCGACCTGTGAGGCCTATTGTTTTTGTCCCCTTTCTATATCTGCACCCATTCTCCTATCCCTGTGCCCTGCACTAACTTATGCAGGTCCTTGATAGGATGGGAGCATAGTTCCTCCGGTTCTGGCCTAGCTTTCCCAAATAAAAAGTGTCGCTTGCGATCCAGAGCCTCGCAGTGACATATTATGTGCTCCGCTGTTTCAGGATCTTTATCGCAGAGTCTGCAGCAAAGACTTCCTTGATACAGATTGAGCTTGTTCAGGTAACATTGACAACAGATTGAGCTTGTTCAGGTGTTTCATTATACATGTTCCTATACCTAAAATAAATCGTTTTTAAGTTATTTAAGATTTAGTTTTAAAGCGTAATTTTTTCTTGGTTTTACCTAGCTTCCTTTGGCGTTTAAAGTCATAGGCTACTGGCTAAAAACCAGAAAAATACACTCTTTAAAACTAAATCTTAAAAAACTTAAAAATGATTTATTTTAAGTATAGGAACATGTATAATCAAAAAGTAACGAATTGAAAAACCTTTTTGCTAGAAATAAAAAAAAGTGGGCTTCCATTTGAAAAAATGATTTATGATAATTTTTTAATATCTCGATTCCATAGCTGTCATGGATGACAGCTACGGCCAATATTATAAGACATTCAAACAATTTAATTTTTGACTTCTCTTTATGTCACAGTGGCTGTAGTAATCTCTATGTTTGATGTGTGTTTAGGCTATACAATTTTTTATTTACAGGCAGTTTTTTTCCTCCAAAAAAATTTACATATTTTTTCTCTCAAAAAACGGTTAATTTTAGGTATAGATATTATTTTAGGTATAGTGCTTGATATAGGAATTCATAAAATTTTATAGAGAATTTAAATATATAATAAAAAATGGGGGTACCCATTTAAAATAAAAAAGTTGCTGTCAACTTTCGGTATTTCCGGAAGTGCCGCCATATTGAAAATATTTTTAATCGATAGATCTCATTGTGAAACAGTGACGTGCAAAAAATCTTAGATATTATACTTACCTATAAACCTGTAATACACGCTCAGTCTGGGACACATACAGGGTGTCCCTTCATGAATCATACATTCATGATCAAATCTTAAATTAAAAAATCTGATTAAATTAAATCTTATCTTTTATAGCAAGGTCTGAAATAGTAACTGTTTATATTAGGTACCTTTAGAAAAATATGTAAACCTAGGAGAATAATTCCAGGGTAATAGGTCGAACATTAGGAATAGGGGAAAACATGATAAGCGCCATTTTACTAATTTTTACGGGAGAGCACTTGACGGTTGGTGGTTATCGCAGTTATCAGGTTCTTTCCGTGTATTCTATATTTTTACTAATCATACATCATAGGATTTAATAACCTATTGCCCTGCAGAGTTTATACATTTTTTTAGGGACCACTTAGAGCTACTAAGCTACTATAATATTGTAAAGTCCTAAAATTAAGAAATTGGCGCTTATCAAGTAAATATTTCCCCTGGACCCTTCAATTGAAACAAAGCAATTGAATTACTTAATTGATATTTTACATAGAACAAGCAGTAGATACATACAGAATGACCCATTAGACCAGGGGTGCGGGAGGGTTAATGGGGGAACTACACCTCCCAGGAAGAAATTATAAATAAGAAAATCTGGTATAAAATAAAACTGTCACAAAATAAATTAATAATGCCAATCAAAATATATATCCAGAACAAAGTTTATTTTTTTCCATATAGTCACAATAACTTTGAGCGAAAATTTAATTTAAATTTATTACTTTATTTAAATATTGTCACTATCCCTCCCAGACATCTGTGTATGCGCCACTGCATTAGACCCAGAAGTCCAATGTCGTTGTTGACGAAGATATTAAAAAAAGGTTTTATATAAATATTGCATGGTTTACAAAGCATAATCATCAAAATATTTAATTTTATAGAGACCATTCCAAAAAAATAATAAAGCTGTACATTTTTTAAATTGTAATCCAAATTGTTTTGTACAAAACTGAATTTAACATAAAATTCTGTTTTTTTATTTAATGTAATATGCCATTTTATTCCTTATTTACTGAAACTTTGGTTAAAAATAATAGTATGTCCGAAAAGATTATTTTTACAAACCTCGAGTGCATATTACTTTATTAATACTTAATTTCCAAATAAAACCGACAAAAAATGAATATAATAACGGTAAATTTTTCTTGTAGGAAAAATTCAACACGCAAGGGATAAAATAATTATATTTTTTAGAAAAACCTATATACCGATGCATCTTGCCGAGACTCGTTTAACCAGTTAACTTTAAGGAAGTTCATCTTTATAAAATATAAGTAACGATCTATGTGGTAGCAATTTTCACGTCTGCTAGATTATAGGTTAGGTGACCACGCCTGTGTACTGCTCTATATAACTGTTTTTCTATAGAATATAGCATGTTGTTGAGCAACGATGTTAGCGAAATAATAGCTAGCTATAGTTGAATGGATTGTTAAATCTTATTAAAGTATTTTATTGAAAATTATTAGAAAGTATACAAGGTGTCCTAAGTTATATATAGGCTCGGTGCATTCTCCGTCGGTGCTGCCACCATCGGAGAATATCGTAAACAACTGGTATATACAAATACACGGGTTTAAATAGCGAGTATACGAAACACACACATTTATTAAATTTAAAAATAAAAATAAAAAAGTAAATACTTTGATACCTTCATAAGGTCTAACTTGTATTATAATTTATTATTCCAGCTAAAAAAGCTTCTAGATAAAGCCGGGACCCCATTAGGCTACACGCCACGCGACGCCACGCTATACCACGTGTTGAGACGTGGCCGACAATGCTCGAAAAAAATTCGCAAATCTAGTTTTGAGCAAGGAATATTTCCCAAACCCGAAAAACCAACTAACCAATGAATTAACATCCTCCAAATAACCACGCTAACCAACTCGCCAAAAAACTAAACCAATCCAATCAAAAACAGTGAAACAAATGCAATCAAATCACACTCTAAGTAAAAAATAATAACCAAATAAAATTAATTTTTCGGGTTCGGGAAATATATTCCTTGCTCAAAACTAGATTTGCGTATTTTTCTCGGGCATTGCCCAAATTCGACTATTGAGCGTAATATATACATGAGATCTGAGAATCGACCATCACACGTGTGATAGAGTGGGATGGCATGGGATGGCGTGTTGCTTAGTGTGTACGCAATACATGTAATTAAATGGAAAAACATACGCACAGATCTTCATGACGTGGGGTGGCATGGCGTGGCGTGGCGTGGCGTGGCGTGGCGTGGCGTGGCGTGTTGGCTAATAAGGTTCCGGCATAAATGTTTATCGGGATAAAAACTGCCGTACTTGCACTTGGAGAGAAAAAGCGTCCGAAAAAGCGTCCGAATAAAATCCTTTCGTTCGTTTTTTAGACAAATCTAATAAGTTTAAATCTAAATCCTGGGAGAGGCTTAG